AAATAAGGGGTTCTGGATCCACTAGTTTATTGTACAGAAATTTCACACTCTGTGTGTATTGGTCTAACCATAACTTACAATACCCAAACAAGCCCAGGAGTTTTCTCACATCTCTTTTCGTTTTTGGGGCTGGGAGAGCTAAAATACCTGAAATTCTGTCAGGGCTTAATTTCTTATACCCTCCCCCTATTATGTGCCCCAAGTATGTTACTTCTGATTGCACAAATTGTAGTTTCCCTTGGGAAACTTTTAGTCCTTTCTCCCCTAGAAAATTCAAAAGTTTAATACTAGTTTGTCTGACCTGATCTTTTTCCTTTCCTGATACCATCAGGTCATCAACATACTGCAGGATCTGCACTTCTTGTTCAGGGACAAATTGTTCCAACAAACTCTCTAAAGCTTGTCCAAAGAGATTGGGGGATTCAGTGAATCCCTGTGGTAATCGGGTCCACCTTAGCTGTTGTCTCCTTTTCGTACTCGGGTCCTCCCATTCAAAGGCAAACCAATCCCTACTTTCTGTTGCCAGAGGACACGCCCAGAAAGCATCCTTCAAATCTATGACAGTGAACCAAGCATGTTCTCTTGGAATTCTGCTTAAGAGACTATATGGGTTGGGCACAACTGGATGTCTGGCAATGGTTCTTTTGTTGACTTCCCTCAAATCTTGCACCAGCCTATATTTCCCTTCAGCCTTTTTAACTGCCAGTATAGGGGTATTATGTGGTGACATGCAAGGTTCTAAAATTCCCTCTTGCAACAGTTGTTCAATGACTATAGCAAGCCCCTTCTTTCCTTCTAGGGAAATCGGATACTGTTTAACACTTATGGGTGAGGTATCATCCTGCATTTTTATTGTTATTGGTGGAATGTCTAATAAGCCTCTCTTCCCCCCCTCAGCCCATACCTCAGGATTTATCTCTGCAACATCTCCTTGAGACAGCTTCATCACTTGTACTACCATTCTCCCTTCCCTTGGAACAATCCCAACCCCCAAATGAACTTGCAGATCCCTTCCTAACAAACTTTTTTCTAAGTTAGGCAGATAAAGAAAATTAGCTTCACACTGCCTTGAGTTTCCAATTATTTTCACTTCTTCAATCACCGATGCTCTAAATGGTCTTCCCTCCGCACCCAATACTTCACAAAATTTTCTCCCAATTTCCATACCTTGTGGTATTTTGTTGAGACAAGACTTATCTGCCCCTGTATCAACCAAAAATTCAAATTCCTCATTTAGGGGTCCCACTTCAAAGTTTACCAAGGGCTCTTCTAGATGTTTCATCGGGTCCCCTATAGTAAAAAGCCCTTGGCACCCCTAGTCCTCCCCCTTAAGAATCCTTCCTAAATTGTCTTGTTCCTTGGCTATTGCCTCATCGAGATTGAGCTTTTTACAAAACCTCCTGGTGTGTCCTGCCTCCCCACAGTAATAACACTGTCGTCCTCTCAAAGGGACTTGAGGTCTCTCAATCCTTTGTGCACCTGTCAGTACTGGCCTACCTCTGCCTCCTCCTGATGGTGGACCTGCCCCCCCTGCACTTTCTCTAGCTACAGCAACCATGATCTTAGCCTTGGCCTTTGCTCTTTCTTCCTCCCTCCTTAAATACACCTTCAATGCCTCTTTTAACAATTCATTTATGTCCTTCTCTTGCCAATCTTCCATCTTTTCCAGTTTTCTCCTTATATCAGGCCAAGATTTGGTAACAAATTGGACTTTTAACAGCATTTGACCTTCTGGGGTGTCTGGGTCTATTTTAGAGTACAACTGGAAGTTCCGCCTTAGGCGATTTAGCCAAGCAGCAGGAGCTTCATCCTTCTCTTGTGCACCCTCAAATGCCAATTGGGTGTTAGTTCCTTTGGGAACTGACTCTTTGATCCCCCGTATTATCAAAGATCTATATTCCCTCATGGCCTTCCTCCCCTCCTCCTGGTTAGGGTTCCAGCTGGGCTCCGTTAGTGGCAATTTCTGTTCACCTGATGGCACCTGGGGTCCTGGACTGTTATCTTTCTCCCATATTCTTATGCCAGCTGCCCTTATCATCTGGACCTCTTCTGGGGAAAATAATATACTCAGGATGGAATTCATCTCTCCCCAAGTGTAGATATTTGGACCTAGAAATTGATCCACTTGGTTGGCTATGCCCACTGGGTCCTCAACTAAATGCCCCAACTCTTTCTTGAATCCTCTCACCTCAGAAGCAGTTAGGGGAGCATTCACAAAGCCAACACCTCCCGCTACTCCTCCCATAGGAACCTCTCTGAGGGGAAAGAGTCTCTCCGCCTTGGAGGTCTTGGATCTGGTGCTACAGTACGGCCCATCTTCAAATGCCAAACTATTTTGAGGAATATCTGGGTTACCCTGAACTTTCTGCCCATCAGCAAGTGTATTTGCTGATAGCTGTTTACTGGATGAGGAGACATTTGTGCCCCAACTAGGGGGAGGTAAAGGGACAGCAATAGGAGGGGGAGAAGAGCCTGAGTGGATATTAAGTGGAGCTGGAGAAGGGGTGCAGAATGCAGCAGGTGGAATAGGCGCTTGTGGTGATGCAGAAGGAACTGGAGGAGCTGAAGGGGGTGGTGAGGGAGTGGTTGGAGGAGATACTGGGTTTATCATAGCGGAAGCTGAAGAGGTAGAAGGAGGAATTTGAGCAGGTGGTAATGAGATGGCAGCCGGGGGAGGAACCGGACCTGCCATTTGAGGTGCTTGTAGAAGAGGATTATAAGGTGGAGGGGCAGAAGGAGGCAAATAATCCAGGGGGTCCCATCTTCTACTAGTTCTATCATCCCCTCCTTCGTTCCCCTCTTTCTTCCTCTGTACCTTACAAATTCGCACCCCTTCATCCCCAATAGTGCTCTTTACCCAGCAAGATATATACAGTAATTGCTCAGGATCAGTATCTCCTCGAGCTGTTAGATAATTATTTAATTGTTGGCACATCCACTTATCCTTTGTCCCACACCAAGGCCATCCTCCTTGCACCTCTAATTCTGGCCACACTTCCATACAATAATGGATCATTTTCACTTTATCTAATCCCTCCGTGGCCTCTATAGAATCCCATTTTTCTAACAGTTCTCCTAAGGGACTATTGGGATGTACATACCTCAGTCTCTTGCCGGTCTTTTTACTACTACAACATCCCATTTTTCAGGTCTCAATAACAAAGTCTCAAAGGTGCCTCAACTGACCGCTAATTTCAAAAAAACCTTGTTTGAGGAGGTTCAGCCTCCTCCACTGAACTTCAAATTTCTGCCTGATGCTCAGGACTTTATACTGAAACAACAGCCCAATCTCTTGATTGCCCAACTTTCGTCAGGTCTTATATCTATCGGGACTTGAACACACGATGCCTCGGCCAAGAATCCGGGTCGTGCCTGACTCCCTCAGTCAGGAAAAACAACTGCCTGATTTTTAGTTTGCCTAACCCGCCAATTTTTAGGCTTCACCGTATCAGGACTTAAAAGCAAACCACAACCTCCTTTGCTGGGGTTTGTGCCTGACTCCCTTTGTCAGGACTTACTTTGCCTGCAGGGCTTGCGAAAACACCCGAATCCTTCTCGGGACTGACAAATCATACGCGAATCCTTCTCGAGACTTACAAAAGTGCCTGACCTCCCTTTGTCAGGACTTACTTTGGGTGCGTGCCACTCATACACAGTAATTCACTCCGCACGCCCGGAGTGGGGGGGCCCTTTATTCCCCCTTGGGAGACGACTTCACTCACAATAAGTCCACTCGCTTCCCCCTGTTTCTGGCCGGGTTTCTCGCGAAAAACCGGAAACACAGTACTGAGGGGTCCCACTCGCTTCGAAGGTCTGGCTGCCGGCCCTCGTCTCACTCACACACTTGCGCACGTCTCCCACTCCCGCCACCGGGTTTCTCACCAGTCCGGTGCTCCGGTGCTCCTCTGCATCGCTGTCCTGAGCCGATCTCTCTGGTCCTGGTAGCCAGCTGTCCTCTGAAGATCCAAGATGGCCAGTCCTGAGTCTTCTTGCGGCGTGGCTATTCCGGACGAGCGCCCCCAGCTGAAATAAACAAAAGGGCCAGGAGACTTCTTCTCCTTTTTCAATGCCTTTATTAAAAGTGATCAGCTCAGGATTGGGTGGCTCGACGGGTCTGCAGTCTCCGTCGTCTCTCCCAAAGCGACTCAGAGCAGGAGGATATGCACAGCTCTGTCCACTAGGGGCAGAGCTGGGGAATCACGTCCTCGTGGGAGCTTTTAGGGCCTGTTGATCCCGTCAGATGGTACTTTTGCCGGCTCAGTCAGCCTCGTCTCACCGCCGGGGTCGTCTCTCTTGGTCAGGGCGAGAGGCTCTGAAGGTGTTTTGCATCTCTGCAGGTTCAGCATTCGGCTCTTCACGTCTAGACATCACTCCAGTCTCTCAACTCTTAGGTGGCTCGTTGTTTTGGGGTTTTCTCCGTACACCGGGGGACCCATGCTGCATTGTGGTCTTGGAGTCACTTTGCATAGCCCCCCCCACCTTCTACTGTTCGGGAAGGTTCCCACCCTTCTGGGAAAGGTACAACTTAGCCTCGGGCGAGGCTCTGCTGATACAAAAGGAGCGATTAGCCACAACGACTCGTGATTACAATAACAAAACACGAAGAACTTCAGCAGCTACCCGTGGTCTGGCTGCTTTTTGTAACTTTTTCTCACAAAAAAAATATTACCCGAATTTTGTTCATAACAGCCTCGGTGGGCGGTACCTGTTGTGTCCCCTCCGCCGTCCTTGCGTCCCACTCTAATTGATTTAACAAGTCGATAAAAGCTTCCAGGTCTTTATAACATTAAGGATGGTCTCGTCGCCTGAAATACACAGGACAGGAGAATTTTTCTCCTTTTAATGCTTTTATTAAAAGTGATCAACTCAGGATTGGGCTGCTCCAAGGGTCTGCAGTCTCCGTCGCTTCTCCCAGGGCGACGAGGAGGAGGAGGATATGCGCAGCTTTGTCCACTAGGGGCACAGCTGGGGGTCCAATCCTTGTGGGAGCCCTTATGGGCATGACTCCTGGTCTTCAACTCCGTAACCTCACCCCCTCCCAGTTTCCGGCTTCAGGACTACTCCCGCGGTCAGGGTGAGAGATCACAAAGGTCTCCAGCATCTCCGCAGACTCAGTACTCCATTCCTCACGTTTAGACATCACTCCAATTTCTCAACTCTATATGGCTCGCTGTTTTGGGGTTCTTTTCAGTGTGTTTGGAATAGTAGCTTCCTATGGCATGCCGGTCCCGAAGTTATTTTGCATATCCCCCCTCCCACGTCTCAGTCCCGTCTCTTCACCATCTGGGGAGGTCCCCGCCCTTCTTAGGAGAAGAGCCCTTAACTCAGCCCCAGCCAGAGCTTTTACCGATACAAAAACAACTATTAACGACAACGACCCACAATTACCATAACAAACAAGCAGCACCCCAGCAGCAACAGAGGTCTGATTAGTTTTTTTAACTTTTTTTCTTCACAAAGAAATTAAAAAATTGGCAGATTTTTGTTTATAACACTCTATACCTCCCTTATATCGGCCATCACTATAGCTCCCAATAGATCCTTTATACCCACAATGTCCCCCCAGACCTTACATGAAATAAACAAGGGGCAGGAGACTTCTTCTCCTTTTTAATGCCTTTATTGAAAGTGATCAGCTCAGGATTGGGTGGCTCGGCGGGTCTGCAGGTCCCGTCGTCTCCCAGGGCAACTCAGAGGAGGAGGATATGCGCAGCTCTGTCCACAAGGGGCAGAGCTGGGGGAATCCAGTCCTCGTGGGAGCCTTTAGGGTGTGATTCCCCGTCAGGTGTTACTTTTGCCGGCTCAGTCGGCCTGGTCTCACCGCCGGGGTCGTCTCTCATGGTCAGGGCAAGAGGGTCCAAAGGTGTTCCGCGTCTCTGCAGGCTCAGCATTCGGCTCCTCACGTCCAGACATCACTCCAGTCTCTCAATTCTTAGGTGGCTCGTTGTTTTGGGGTTTTCTCCATACAGCGGGGGACCCATGCTGCATTGTGGTCTTGGAGTCACTTTGCATAGCCCCCCTCACCTTCTCAGGTCTCTTCTACTGTTCCGGAAGGTTCCCACCATTCTGGGAAAGGTACAACTTAGCCTCGGGCGAGGCTCTGCTGATACAAAAGGAGCGATTAGCCACAACGACTCGTGATTACAATAACAAAACACGAAGAACTTCAGCAGCTACCGTGCTCTGGCTGCCTTTTTGTAACTTTTTCTCACAAAAAAAATATTACCCGAATTTTGTTCATAACAGTCCCCACTCTTTTTCTTTGATAGAGCTTAAATTCTAAGCTCGCATCAACTCACAATTTTTTTGTTTTGAATCTACTATAGATCTCTTGTGCAGTTTGGTAATCATGGCTACTTAACCTTGTTACTTTCCTTGGTTTCTTCAGGTTGGTCTGCACGGCAAGTACTATTCTACTAAAACAGATAAATAAGCATAGTAAAAAAAGCAATCCTCCAAGTACACACACAGTGAGAAAAACTACCTTTTCCCATACATCCTTTTTGAAAATCTCCAGGTTCTCCCACCCACTGGGATCAAGTGTAGGAGTTTGTTCTTCATTATTTACACATGCTAATCTTTTTATTTCGTTTGAAATGTTCTTAATAATTGAATTATTTATTTTTAATACTGCCTGGAGCCTGATGACTTTGTTTAACATAGGTATTGGGGTCCGAATTTGGCTTTTACAATTTTGGATTTTCTCAATTTCTATTTCACTTTCCCGGTTCTGTTTATTTTCTCCCAAATCATTATATATAGGAACTCCCAAACTTGATCCAGTTTCTTTGGGTAATAAGAAAATTGGTTTTATCACTCTAGCAATGCAGTTGCCAGACGAGATCAAACCTAGGGGTTTTGGGCTCCCCTGAAATGTGTTCCAAAAGGGGTTTATCTCCTTTCCAGTACACTCATATAAATACTTGTAACAAACAATTTTTCTCACCATTTTCACCATTTCTTTGCTTTTTACTAGATCTGCTGAGCTTGTTTCAGCTGCATCACATTCAAAGCACAACCAGGCTTCTCCTATAGTACACTCTCCTAGGAGTGGCTGCCTACAAGTGGCAGTATTGTATGCTCTCCAATACACTCTCTTATTTTTCTGATAAAGGACCAATTGGGAGAGGTTAACACGATCAGGGTCAGAACTGATGTGGACTCTCGACAAGGAGCTCACTTCCTCCTCATAGAGGGGTTGGTAGCATTCACTGCGCCGCTCAGCTGGGCTCCCCAGAGCACCACCAGCAATCAGAGCCATCAGTACTACCCTTCCCAAGAGTCCGGTATGGGTCATCTTGCACAGCCTGCCCACCCAGCCTTGCCTCTTGGGGAATTTTACTGAGGAGAAGCTTCCAAGCTCTTTAGAGTCCCTTCTACCCGCTTCTCTGGTTAAACCTCTCTTGGTCTGTTCCCTACCAATTTTGGTTTCCCCTCCCAGGGGAGTGTTCTGTAGAGGATTAACCTGGAGTCTCTAGAATTAAATTGGGGAACTTAACCAGAATTACTTATTTACAGTCTTAAACTTTTTACTAACATAGTTTACAATAACAAAACAGTTTTGAAACATTTTAAGCAATTTAGAACTCTTGATACCAATTTTTTTTCCACACAGTTCAGTCTATTTGACTCTTCCTTCTGAGAGTCAACTTTAAATCCTTGGATCCTTTTACCACAGTATACTCAGGTGATTTAGCTTGTGAAGCAGATGAATCCTTATCCAGTGCCCAGAGGTGAGTGGTGTGGACTCTGGCCCAATGCCAGAGGGAAAAACTGGGAGTCTGGCCCAATGCCAGAAGGAGAAAGGGGTGGAGTCCGGTCCAATGCCAGAGGAAAAAAAACCTGATGTTGAATCCTGGTCCAATGCCAGGAGGAGAATGGGGTGCAGTCCAGTCCAATGCCAGAATGCCAGAGGGAGAAAAAAACTGGTGTTGAATCCTGGTCCAATGCCAGGGGGTGAGAGTGATGCGAGTCCAACCTTTTTCTTTTGGTCTGTACAGTCGAATTAGTAATGAAGAGTACCTGAAATGGGCTTTCAAACACAGGCATTAATGGTCTGCTATTTAATGATTTATCAAAACTCAGTTTCTCTGTTTAATGTTATTGGTTAATTTCTTTTTCCATAGCTTGCATGTTTCTCTCATCAACTTCTGCATACTCTGTATTTTGCAAGGAGTTGTATTTCTCAGCTAACTTAACTCCCAAAGTATTTTTATTCTCTTATATCTCTGTGTATTTAATTCACTGGTTTTCTGTTCTATTTTCAAGATCTTATTTATCTCTTGCTTCTGTTTCTTACTTTCACTTAGAGCTTAAATATTTCTTTCAACCCCTTACACTTAAATTTTTGGGGTTTTTTTCTTACACCATTCTTCTACACAATACACTTCTCTCTAAAGAAATGTGGTAAAACTTATAATGCACAATATACATTACCTCTATTCTAATTTGTCTATATTCACTCTCACACGTTCCTTCACACCCTCAAGACACAAACTGGATCATTATTGCTAGAAAATCACGGGTCCCTGTAGCCCCCTCTCACCCTGGGGTTGGCCCACAGGTCTCGGTATCCCTGGGCCTCTTGGAAGGGCCCTGACTCTGGTTGCCTCTGGTGCACATTCACCTGTGAGGCTGTCTGTGTGTCACTCACGCTCTTACAGCTACGGCTCCCTCACACACCTGGGGAGCACTAGTCTGGTTTGCAGGTCACACACGCTCTTTGGCCACAGCCCCCACCCACCCGGGGGACACAAGCCTGGTTTGCAGGTCACACATACACACACTTGCACTGCCCCCTTCCCACCTGCCCGGGAAGTTGAGGCTGACTTCGTGACTCACTCTCACACACACAAGACAACAATAAGGTACCTTTTACTTTCACATAATTTATTACACGTTAAGTATTACTGGCCAGTTTTGGTGCTACTGGATACCCTTTCTACCTAGCTGATTTTTTGTCTAACTTCAGATGTTTTTCACTATTCTATACTATACTTCTTAGTACTTTGTTGAGACAGCACTTATCTGCTCCTGTATCTACTCAAAAATTCAAATTCTTCATTTAGGGGTCCCACTTCAAAGTTTACCAAGGGGCTCTTCTAGATGTTGCATCGGGTCCCCGATAGTGTAAAGCCCCTGACCCTCTAATCATCACCTTTAAGGATCTTCCCTAAATTATCTTGTTCCCTGGCTATTGCCGCATCGAGACTGAGCTTTCTACAAAACCTCCTGACGTGTCCTGCCTCTCCACAGTAATAGCAATGCCGCTCTTTTAAAGGGCCTTGAGGTGTCTCCATCCCTCTTGCACCTGACAGTACTGGCCTATCCTTGCCTCCTCCTGGTGGTGGACCCGCCCACCCTGCACTTTCTCTAGCTACAGCAACCATGATCTTAGCCTTGGCCTTTGCTTTTTCTTCCTCCCTCCTTAAATACACCTTCAGTGCCTCTTTTAACAATTCATTTATGTCCTTCTCTTGCCAATCTTCCATCTTTTCCAGTTTTCTCCTTATATCAGGCCAAGATTTGGTAACAAATTGGACTTTTAACAGCATTTGACCTTCTGGGGTGTCTGGGTCTATTCTAGAGTACAACTGAAAGTTCCGCCTTAGGCGATTAAGCCAGGCAGCAGGAGCTTCATCCTTCTCTTGTGTACCCTCAAACGCCAATTGGGTGTTAGTTCCTTTGGGAACTGACTCTTTGATCCCCCGTATTATCAAAGACCTATATTCCCTCATGGCCTTCCTCCCCTCCTCCTGGTTAGGGTTCCAGCTGGGCTCCGTTAGTGGCAATTTCTGTTCACCTGTTGGCACCTGGGGTCCTGGACTGTTATCTTTCTCCCATATTCTTATGCCAGCCACCCTTATCATCTGGACCTCTTCTGGGGAAAATAATATACTCATGATGGAATTCATCTCCCCCCAAGTGTAGATATTTGGACCTAGAAATTGATCCACTTGGTTGGCTATGCCCACTGGGTCCTCCACTAAATGCCCCAACTCTTTCTTGAATCCTCTCACCTCAGAAGCAGTTAGGGGAGCATTCACAAAGCCAACACCTTCTGCTATTCCCCCCATAGGAACCTCTCTGAGGGGAAAGAGTCTCTCCGCCTTGGAGGCCTTGGATCTGGTGCTGCAGTATGGCCTATCTTCAGATGCCAAACTACTTTGCGGGATATCTGGGTTACCCTGAACTTCCTGCCCATCAGCAGGTGTATTTGCTGATAGCTGTTTATCAGGCGAGGAGGCATTTGTGTCCCAACTAGGAGGGGGTAAGGGGACAGGAATAGGAGGGGGAGAAGAGCCTGAGTGAATATTCAGCGGAGCTGGAGAAGGGGTGGAGAATGCAGCAGGTGGAATAGGCGCTTGTGGTGGTGCAGAAGGAACTGGAGGAGATACTGGGTTTATCATAGCAGAAGCTGAAGAGGTAGAAGGTGGAGTTTGAGCCGGTGGTAATGAGATGGCAGCCGGGGGAAGAACCGCACCTGCCATTTGAGGTGCCCGAAGAAGAGGATTATAAAGTGGAGGGGCAGAAGGAGGCAAATAATCCAGGGGGTCCCATCTTTTACTAGTTCTATCATCCCCTCCTTCGTTCCCCTCTTTCTGTCTCTGTACCTTACAAATTCGCACCCCTTCATCCCCAATAGCGCTCTTTACCCAGCAAGATATATACAGTAATTGCTCAGGATCAGTATCTCCTCGAGCTTTCAGATAATTATTTAATTGTTGGCACATCCACTTATCCTTTGTCCCACACCAAGGCCATCTTCCCTGCACCTCTAATTCTGGCCAGACTTCCATACAATAATGGATCATTTTCACTTTATCTAATCCCTCCGTGGCCTCTATAGAATCCCATTTCACTAACAGTTCTCCTAAGGGACTACCGGGAGGTATGTCTCTCAGTCTCTTGCCGGTCTTTTTACTACTACAACATCCCATTTTTCAGGTCTCAATAAAAAAGTCTCAAAGGTGTCTCAATTGACCGGTAGTTTCAAAAAACCCTTGTTTGAGGAGCTTCAGCCTCCTCCACTGAACTTCAAATTTCTGCCTGATGCTCAGGACTTTATACTGAAACAACTGCCCAATGTCTTGATTGCCCAACTTTCGTCAGGTCTTATATCTATCGGGACTTGAACACACGATGCCTCGGCCAAGAATCCGGGTCGTGCCTGACTCCCTCAGTCAGGAAAAACAACTGCCTGATTTCTAGTTTGCCTAACTCGCCAATTTTTAGGCTTCACCGTATCAGGACTTAAAAGCAAACCACAGCCTCCTTCGCTGGGGTTTGTGCCTGACTCCCTTTGTCAGGACTTACTTTGCCTGCAGGCTTGCGAAAACACCCGAATCCTTCTCGAGACTTACAAAAGTGCCTGACCTCCCTTTGTCAGGACTTACTTTGGGTGCGTGCCACTCATACACAGTAATTCACTCCGCACGCCCGGAGTGGGGGGGCCCTTTATTCCCCCTTGGGAGACGACTTCACTCACACTAAGTCCACTCGCTTCCCCCTGTTCCTGGCCGGGTTTCTTGCGAAAAACCGGAAACGCAGTACTGAGGGGTCCCACTCGCTTCGAAGGTCCGGCTGCCGGCCCTCGTCTCACTCACACACTTGCGCACGTCTCCCACTCCCGCCACCGGGTTTCTCACCAGTCCGGTGCTCCGGTGCTCCTCTGCATCGCGGTCCTGAGCCGATCCCTCTTGGTCCTGGTAGCCAGCTGTCCTCTGAAGATCCAAGATGGCCAGTCCTGAGTCCTCTTGTGGCGTGGCTATTCTGGACGAGAGCCCCCAGCTGAAATAAACAAGGGGCAGGAGATTTCTTCTCCTTTTTAATGCCTTTATTGAAAGTGATCAGCTCAGGATTGGGTGGCTCGGCGGGTCTGCAGGTCCCGTCGTCTCCCAGGGCAACTCAGAGGAGGAGGATATGCGCAGCTCTGTCCACAAGGGGCAGAGCTGGGGGAATCCAGTCCTCGTGGGAGCCTTTAGGGCGTGATTCCCCATCAGGTGTTACTTTTGCCGGCTCAGTCGGCCTGGTCTCGCCGCCGGGGTCGTCTCTCATGGTCAGGGCAAGAGGGTCCAAAGGTGTTCCGCGTCTCTGCAGGCTCAGCATTCGGCTCCTCACGTCCAGACATCACTCCAGTCTCTCAATTCTTAGGTGGCTCGTTGTTTTGGGGTTTTCTCCATACAGCGGGGGACCCATGCTGCATTGTGGTCTTGGAGTCACTTTGCATAGTCCCCCTCCACCTTCTCAGGTCTCTTCTACTGTTCGGGAAGGTTCCCACCCTTCTGGGAAAGGTACAACTTAGCCTCGGGCGAGGCTCTGCTGATACAAAAGGAGCGATTAGCCACAACGACTCGTGATTACAATAAAAAAACACGAAGAACTTCAGCAGCTACCGTGCTCTGGCTGCCTTTTTGTAACTTTTTCTCACAAAAAAAATATTACCCGAATTTTGTTCATAACATTACAGATCCCTTACAACCCCCACAGCCTCCCCCTGTCCCCCCAGCTCCTATAGATCCCCTATAGCCCCCTGTGTTCTGACAGGCCCTATAGATCTATACTCCCCATGTTCCTTCAAATCCCCCCATCTGTGCCCTCCAGGCTAAATAGATCTCCTAAAGCCCCCACAGATCCCTATCCGATGCCCCCACAGGGTGCTGCCCAGGGCAGCAGGCATTGCAAGAGATCTGCAAGTACCAGAGCAGCACCCGCCTGCTGCTGCGCTCCGGCCCCTTTTCCCGCCTGGTGAGAACCCCCCCATCCCTAAAATCCCTAGACACCCCATTTTCCCCCCCAGAACCTCCCCAGCATCCCCCATGGACTTCCAAACTCCCCTGGGAACCCACAGATCATCTCAGATCCCCACAAAATCTACTGTGGGACCCCCAAGTCCCTCCAGGAACCCCCCAGTTTCACCCCAAAACCTCCAGCATTGTCTGGGATCTTCCAAACAACTCTGTATCCCCTCTCCTGGGATCCCCAAATCCCTCTCAGGACACCCCAGATCAACCCTCTCGACCCTACAACTTCCCCCAGAGCCTTCAAATTCATCCTGGCACCCTTCAGCTCCCCATTGGAGTCTCCCAAATACCCACTGGAAGCCTTCAAACAATCCCGAGGACCCCTTTAAATCCAACCCCAAATCCACCCTGGGACCCCTGAAATCCAACCTTGAACCCTCCAACCTCCCCTTGGACCCCATCCCAAAAACCAACTGCGATTTTCCAACCCCCTACAGACCCACCAAGTTACCCCCCAGAACCCCAAATCACCCCCTGGGACTCTTCATGACCATCCCTTTCCCCCAGGGCCCCCCCTCAACCCTGTTCCATCCCTCCCCATGTCCTTGTCCTCCCCATCCTCGTGACATGGTGGGCCTGTCCTCCCCCAACATCCTTGCATATCCTCCAATGCCATTCTGTGGTTCCAGACATCCTTGTATCCTGCCACCTTCAGAGGCTGCATGGATTGAGAGTTCCCTGTGCCCCTCCTGCTGTGCTGGCACTGTCCCCCAGTCCCATCAGGGTGTCCCCATGTTCCCATGGCCGAGGGTGTTCCCAAGATGTTCCCAGAGTGGTGCTTCCCCCCTGCCTCCCACCTTGGAGAACCCAGGGTGTCCCCGTGGTGATGTTCCCATGTCCCCACTCCCCAGTGTATTCCCAGGTGCTCCTGTCCCCAGTGTTCCTCTCCCTGGGGTGTCCCCAAAGTGTCTCCAGGGTGATAACAAGGGTGTCCCCAGGTGCCTGGGATGTCACCAGGGCAGTGTCTCCACATCTCAAGGGCATCACCATGGTGGTGGCCCCAGCCCGGGATGTCCCCAATGCCCCCATATCCCCTCCATGTTGTCCCGATGTCCCCGCACTCCCTGTGACCCTGCTGCCCCCATGTGGCCCCTCGCTGTGCCCTCTCTGCCGCAGGTGCGGGAGCTCTGCCTCCTCTTCACCCGCGGGGTCGATTACCACTGGCAGAGCATGGCCCTGCTGGCACTGCAGGAGGTGCAGCTAGGGGGGCCCAGGCATGATGGAGGGAGGTCACAGAGGGCTGGAGGGGCCCTATGGGTCCTGCAGGGGTATCTAGGTGAAATAAACAAGGGCCAGGAGACTTCTTCTCCTTTTTAATGCCTTTATTAAAAGTGATCAGCTCAGGATTGGGTAGCTCGGCAGGTCTGCAGCATCCGTCATCTCTCCCAAGGCGACTCAGAGGAGGAGGATATGCACAGCTCTGTCCACAAGGGGCAGAGCTGGGGATCACGTCCTCGTGGGAGCCTTTAGGGCCTGCTGATCCCCGTCAGATGGTGCCCCTCCCACTCAGTCGGCCTGGTCTCACCACCGGGGTCGTCTCTCTTGGTCAGGGCGAGAGGGTCCGAAGGTGTTCCGCATCTCTGCAGGCTCAGCATTCGGCTCCTCACGTCCAGACATCACTCCAGTCTCTCAGCTCTTAGGTGGCTCGTTGTTTTGGGGTTTTCTCCGTACAGCGGGGGACCCATGCTGCATTGTGGTCTTGGAGTCACTTTGCATAGCCCCCCTCACCTTCTCAGGTCTCTTCACCCTTCTGGGAAAGAACACCTTAGCCTCGGGCGAGGCTCTGCTAATACAAAAGGAGCGATTCGCCTCAACAACCCGTGATTACAATACCAAAACATGAAGAACTTGGGCAGCTACCGTGCTCTGGCTGCCTTTTTGTAACTTTTTCTCACAAAAAAAATATTACCCGAATTTTGTTCATAACACTAGGGACTTAGGGGCGTGGGGAAGGGGCTGAGGGGGATCTCATGGGTACTGAGAAGGTTTCCATGGGGGCTGGGGGTCTGTGGATGCTGCAAGGGGGGGTCTGTGGGTGCTGGAGGTGTCTCTGGGGGCTGGGGAGGTCCAGGAAGGTCTCTTTGGATGCTTGGATGAGGCTGAGAGGTTTGTTGGGTGTATGTGATGGGAGTTGAGGGGGAGTCTAGGAGGGTCTTCATTGGCTGGGGGTAGGGTCTATGCGTTCTGGGACAGGGTTCCATGGATGTTGAGAGGGTCTCTGGGTGCTGGGTGGGGGGAGGGGGGTCCCTTATTCCCAGGGTCTATCGGGGATTGAGGATGGGTCATTGGGTGTTGATCCTCCCCTAACACATTTACAAGCACAAGGTGCTTCAGTCACCCATGGGTGGGTTTGGAGGGACCCTGCCCCCTGGGTGTGTGTTTGGGGGGGGTCTCTGACCTGGGGGAAAGGTGTGGGGGTTGGGGCATGCTGGGGAGCTTTGGGGACCCTCCCTCAGGTTTTGGTTCACAGGCAGCAGAGGCCTTCATGGTGAGGCTGTTGGAAGACGCATACCTGTGCTCGCTGCACGCCCGCCGAGTCACCCTGATCCCCCAGGATCTGCAGCTGGCCCGGCGCCTGCGAGGGCCCGAAGCGGGGGGCATCTGAATGAGGACCCCCTGGGGAGTCTCTCCTGATAATTTCACACCCATAATCTTACTGGGACCTCCTATGGACCATCATGCTGAGACCCTCCCCCCACCCATAGGGTCCCCCAAGCTCCCCCACGTGGACCCGCCCCATAGACTCCCCTGAAATAAACAGGGCCAGGAGACTTCTTCTCCTTTTTAATGCCTTTAATAAAAGTGATCAGCTCAGGATTGGGCAGCTCGGCAGGGCTGCAGTCTCCCACCGTGTCTCCCCGGGCAACTCAGAGCAGAAGGATATGCGCAGCTTTGTCCACCAGGGGCAGAGCTGGGCATCAGGTCCTCGTGGGAGCCTTTAGAACTTGGTAATCCCTGCCAGTTGTTGCTCCTCCCAACCCAGTCGGCCTGGTCTCACCGCTGGGGACGACTCCCATGGTCAGGGCGAGAGGCTCCGAAGGTGTTCCGCATCTCTGCAGGCTCAGCACTCGGCTCCTCACGTCCAGACATCACTCCAGTCTCTCAACTCTTATTTGGCTCATTGTTTTTGGGGTTTTCTCTGTGGGTTTGGAGTCGGAGGTCCCACAAAGAATCCTGGTCTTGGAGTCACTTTGCATAACCCCTCCCCTCTAGGTCTCTTCTCCTCACTGTTCGGGAAGGTTCCCACCCTTCACTGTCTCAGAGAAGGGCCATTACCTCGCCCTAGCCAGGGCTTTTACTAATACAAAAACAACCATTTTAACGACAACGACCCGTAATTACCATAACACAGGCAGCAGCCCAGCAGTAGTGGTAACTTTTTTTCTCACAGAAAAAAAATCAACTGAATTTTTGTTCATAACATCCCCCACCTCAGGATCCCCAACAACCCCTTCAGGGACCCATCCCCGGGTGGAGGTCCCCTTCCTTAGTCCAGCACCTCTCAGATTATTGAGGACCCCTACCTATGATCCCCCTGGAACCCCCATCACCAGCATGCCAGTCCCAGGGAAACCTACCCAGGACCTCCTCCCTGCTGGAGACCCTCCCAGTTCTGCTGTACCCCAATAAATGTTTGTGACCCCTGGGTGCTGATGCTGGGGAGTTTGGAAGGGATTTGGAGGTGGGGCACCACAGGGGGTAACTCTGGAGGGCAGGAGAACCCACAGGGAGAGGGGCTCTGAGTATTTTAGGTGAGGGCACCTGAGATGGGGGCCAGGAAGGTCTTGGGGCCCAAGGGGTTCCATGTATAGTGGTGGTGGGGGGTCGTCTAAGGGGTTGGTGCTTAAGGGATTCGCTTTTTGAGCGGAGGTCAGGGCTTTGGGGACGGTGCTTAGAGGTGGCTTGAACGTGGGTAGGGTTGCCTGTGGGGGGCAGGGCTTAGTACCCCTTGTGCATGGGGCTCTAGAGGTCTCCTGTCCATGGGCGGAGCTCCGGGGGTAGGGCTTCAACGGGGTCCCCGCTATGGGGCAGGGCTTGGGGAGGGACACACTTGGGGGGCGGGGCTATGGGGGTTCTGGGCGGTCCCCGGCTGCTTTTCCCGCTGCTGCCGCTCGGGGCGCTGCTGAGCGGGGAGGGGCGGGACCTGCAGGGACGCTGCACCGGCAGCACCTGTGCCCGCACCTGAGGGCACGAGAGGGACCCCAGAACGGACCTGCCCAACCCCAACCCTGCCCTGGGACCCCAACCCCCCCTTCCTCATGCCTTGGAGACCCCTCCCGAGCCTCAGAACCCAAAACCTACCCTGGGACCTCAAATCCCCTTAAACCTGCCCATTGTTGCCATCCTTGGGGTACCCTCTGAGCCCCCCAAACCTCAGGGACCCCAAATATCCCCCCTAAAATCACAGACAAGCCCCCACCCACCTGGTTTGGGATACCTCCAGTTTTGGGGTCTCCTCAACCCTCTTTTTCCCTAGACAGTCTGGTGCTCAGTTTGGTGGGGAATATTTTTGTTACTGAACTTTCAAAGAAAGTTAACAATGCAAATTGTGGACAGGACAGAAAATTGCTTTGACGTCTCTAAGGACCCTATAAGCAGCAGTACATCTGATAATGAGGAAATCACATTAAAATCCCCAATTAAAGATGAAGCCTTCTTTGATAGTCAGGGTCTGCACACTGTTACTAAAACAGTGTGGTTTTAGTAAAGCAAAGTTCCAGGAAAAGTATAGCACACTTACATAGTAATCGGAAACTGGATATGTTTAGAGAGTGCCTCTGGAAGAGGGTGATTAAATAATTTGTCTGAGGTGGAGGCCCAAGGCTTCTGAAGGCCAGAAGTGTTTTTAATGGTGAGTGACCAGAGAAAACTGTGGTTTTTAACTCAGAGTGCTGCCTATTGAGCAGGAGGTTGCATCCATTAGAGAGGAGTGATTTGCTTAGGATCGAGACCCCAGCCATAGATCACGGGACAGAGAGTGTACAGAAGGCAGTGTTTTTGCAACTGATGAATGACAGATATTCCAGGACAGCCCATACCTACATCACTGGTTAACCAAGTATGTGGCTGCCATGGTTAGAGTTTTGCTGGACGTGATAAAACACTGCAGCATAATTTCAGAATCACTTGAAGCAAGTGTTAACCCCACAGAGAGAAAGACAAGGGAAAAGACCCTTATCGTGGGGAAAGAGATCTTCAGGGCTAATTAGCTATGGCAGAAGGATTGGTTTCACTTAACAATTAGTAAACAGAACAACAATCAGGAGATTGGAATTGCACCAAGGAAGCAGATTGCCCAAAAGGGAGCAGCAGGGTCCCAGTGCATGATGAATGCAGTTTGAGTGAAAGGCTTGCAGAAAGGAATTTTTCGGGAAGTGATAAATTATCCACTGCTGTTTTGGAGAATGTAGTACTTGGGGAAAAGGAAAGTTGCACTCTTTTGCCACAAGCAGGATAAAGATGTTGATGTGGGAGTTGGAACTCCTGGGAGACCTATCATTACTATGGCCTCACAGGCTAATGTTGTTAATTTGAGTCTTAGAACAACTTTTGGCATCCTCAGTGAGCTGGCGGCTGGCAGCTGCAAACATTTAAGGAAGCTCACCAAAAGTAAGACTTACACAGAAAATGAGGTATCAAAGTTGCCACTGGCTTCTGAGATGAAGACAGGAGAAAAGCTGAGAATCCAAGTGGATAAACTTATAACTGAGAAAGACCATCTTAAGACCCTACTTGCTTCAGCAGAGTGTAAGGAAAGACAATTATTTTAGAATTTGAATAGGGAAATTATAGAAGAAAGAAACAAGACCTGAGAGAGGAAACCTTATTTATCCCTGTTACTGAGAAATGAACAATTGCAGAAACAGTTCCAGGAAGAAAAGGAGAAGAGATGAAAACTGAAAGAAACAGCAAAGGTGATGCTTAAGCAAGCTACGAATTCACCTTGTATTGTGCAGAGTCCATTCAGGTGGCTGATTTACAAAAGCATTCCATGCACAAGCCAAGTGAAACTGAAATGCAACAAGTGGAACCCTATCAATACGTACTAATGACCCACACATCCAGATTCCAGTTGGTTCTTGTCAATGATTAATTACATTTCTAATAGATAAAGGAACACAGCATTCAGTACTAATGAAGCAGGACTGTATGACCCAAGAAGCTGGGTGTATGACCCAGATGCTGAGAGTTAAAATCACTTTAGTACATGGAGCACATGTTATCTGTCAAGCTGCTACGGTTAATTTATGGGTCCTGGATGAGAAGTGGATATTGGCTACTTGCTTTGCAATCAAAGATCACAATGACAATATTTAGGGTTTTGATGTTCTGAACATTTAAATCTGTTGTCTGCCTGATGTCAGTGAGTCAATGTTTGAACATTACCCCAAACCCTAAAAGGAATCCAGAGACTGTGCTGACTCCACGTTGCACCTGCACTCCCTGATCCAAGGACTGCTAGTGTGTCCCCATGCTGGATTTTTGCTGCAGGGAGAAGTGGAATTTCTGAAGTTCTGGCCAATGTGGCCCCACTAAGAATTGAAATACCCAATTACTGGAAACCTAACAGCCACTATATAAGCACTCATGTGCTTGGGCATTGATGAGGTGGTGACAGATTAAAAGAAAAAAGGTACTATCACTCAGTCACACTCCTATCTCTCCTGTCAGAGACAGTGGCCAGTGATCATTTTAACACTCCAGCTGTTGCAGAATTTTGTTCAGACATGGCTTATGGAGAGGCCATGATTACATACAGCTGGTTAAAAAGTAAAAGGCAGCTGTAAGCAGCAAGTTCTCTGGCTTTTTCCTTAAAAAAAATAAACACCATGTCCTTGAGTAAAGTGATGAGAAAGGCATGGTGAAAAACATGGAGGCCTTGAAAGGGTATTCAATAACAAGTCAACAGCAGGATGAGAAAAACAAGTATTAGCCTCAACAAGGAACCACAGGTATTGACAGCAAAGGAGGGGTTGATGTGTAATCTGTAACCAATGATGAGCTCAGGTTTTGCAATATGTATGAACCGAATTAACACTACTACAAAAGTGTGTAAGCTAGATCAATAAATCGGAGTTCGATGCTGATCAATCAGGATGTGGTCGTCTCCCTTCACCTTCCTCATCCAGCCACATAGAACATGCCAGTGTTTAGCCAACGTTTGCTGTTGGCATTGCCATTATGTCACAGATCACAGAATATTCTGAGTTGAAAGGGACCGACAAAGATCATCAAGTCCAGCTGTTAAGCTAATGGGCCATACACAGATTGAACCAACAACTGTGGTGTTATGAGCACCATGCTCAGACCAACTGAGCCAGTCTTAGGGTCTGGCTCATGAAAGAGCTGAACAGACAGTTGTGGCTCACGGTTTATTACAGGCAGTTGAACACCAGTACCACATCTACAATCACTGCTGTACTAAACTTTGTGGAACTGATAGCTCAAATTAGGAGAGCACACTACCCTGGAAGGACAACTCAATTTGCAGGAGACCTCCCTGAAAACATGAGAAGCAGCAACAGCAGTGGACAAGCACTTCATAAAGTAGAAGTTGAGATTCCTCCTGAAGAATGTCAAGGCCTAGCACCATGAAAGACCAAA